CCCCCCCACCCCTCCCGGCGGGGCAGATGCCTGTGGCCTGTCGGACGCGGCGCACATCGAGAGCCTGCAGGAGAAGTCGCAGTGCGCCCTGGAGGAATACGTGCGGAGCCAGTACCCCAACCAGCCCAGCCGCTTCGGCAAGCTGCTCCTCCGGCTGCCTTCGCTGCGCACCGTCTCGTCCTCGGTCATCGAGCAGCTCTTCTTCGTCCGCTTGGTAGGTAAAACCCCCATCGAGACGCTCATTCGAGACATGCTGCTCTCCGGCAGCAGCTTCAACTGGCCTTACATGTCCATCCAGTGCTCCTAGAGCTCCTGGCGGCCTCCCCCGCTCAGCCCCAGAGAGAGCGAGACAGAGAGAGAGCGAGAGCGAGAGAGAGACCCAGAAGAACTCCCGCGGCAGGGGGGGCCCGGCCGGCCGCCGCCGCCTCGGCTGTGGGGGTCCCGAGGCAGACACTGACAGTCCGAGAGAGCTCAGACGCTGGGAGAGAGAGGCGCTTAGAGCCGCCCAGCCGGGCCGGTGGCGGAAAAAAACATTACATAAAAAATTAAAAGGACACGCCGTGTTTGTGGAACAAATAAAACGCAGATGGGAGAATTAAAAAAAAAAAGGACCGAAGGGATTTTAATATAAACCCCAAATGGAGACTAGAATGGATCTTCCTGGATTTATGACGGACTGAGATGGATTTCGTCTGTACAGCAAACAAACAAACACACAGTTAAAACAAAGCAAAAGCAAAAACGGAAGGCGAATTGACTGGTGTAGAAAAGGAAGGGGGTCCGGAGGCAAATGCTTACCACGAACATTGTTCTTGATTTTGTAAGATATTAGTCTTTATTTTCACTTTTTTTGTAAAATTTAAAGCATCGTATGCGCATAAAGGAGGAAAAAACACAAGAAACAAACAAGGATTAGGAGGGGTGGGAAATAACATTTTCCAAATAATTATTAAAAAACAAACAAGGAATTGTTCTGTGTGTATGTATCTATATCTGTTTTGTATTTTTTTCTGGTTCCAAACCAGGTTTCCTGTGATTCTATACTAATAATTTTTGATATAACCCTTTGCTTCTTATAATGAGTGCGATATATGTTGTCGAAGCTGTTCTTCAAGAATTAAAATTGAAGTGAGAATTTAAACAAAAATAAAAGAATTTAGCAAAAAACAAAAGAAAACAGAGAGAGAGAAGAGAAACCCCAACAGCGACTCCAAAATCCCCACACCAGTTCCGGAATCTGGTTGCTTGAAGCAGACCTGATATTTTGGGTTTCTGGGCAGGGTGGGGGGCACTGGTTCACCCTCAGGAAGGGGTTGGAGCTGCTCCTGGACTTTCATGGGAGAAAGTGTGGTTTAAAAATAATAAATAAATTTGAGAGGCTACTGTTCAAGGTGCACGCATCTCGCAGTATTCCCCAAGCTGGCTGGTTCTCTGAGACTGAGAAAACAGAGAAAGTTAGAAGAATCCCTTTTGTCTACTAGACATTTTGGATCCCGCTGTGTATAATATGGGATACAAATTGGAACGCAGGTTCCAGGGCCTTTCAACGTTGCTTGTTTTCTTCCTTTTGAGATCAGAACTAAAGACCTTCTTCTCCTCCCTCCCCCCTCACAAAAATAAGGCTCTTCCGCTTTGTGAAATGTAACAGTATCAGGCGTGGAAGATTTTTTCCTGGTGTACATCTTGGTGATTTAACCACGGGTTCTAATCCCCAGGTCGGTGGCGTCCTGTTCCTGTGATGGTAACAGAAGTAGGAGTATCAGAATGATTTTTTTCTCTCCCTACATACAAAGAGTGAAACCACCACCCACCCAAGAGACGAGTTAGTATTAAATCTATGTGTCTGCTCGTGTGTACAGACTCAAGGACATGCATGTATCTCTGTTCCTGTGGGCACGTGGGTGCCTCTCCCTGAATCCTAATTCAGGGTCTCTCTCAGAAGACCACTGTGTACAGCCCACCCCATCCCCTTAGCAAACGTACCACTAGTTCTCCTAGTTGAGCTTCTTTTGAAGGTAAAGGCTTCCCCCAGTGCTTGGAGCTGGTCGTGGCGGATCTCTGTAACAGCTTTCAGGGCATTAATGTTTTATAGGATCTGAGACAGCGCGGTAAGAACACACACTGCCAAGGGAGCTCTTTCTTAACGTATTAATAAAGCTGGGTCTTTAAAAATAACATTTGTGAGTCCCCCCCCCTCCCAACCCCAACCTCTCCCCCCACAGCCCTCTGAACACATCCAGGATGAGGCAGGATTTTCAATTGGAGGAGTGACTGGCAATGTTTTTTCTTTTAATTTGCTTTCTACGCTCTCCAGGATTTGGAGGGGGGGTTGCATTAACAAGATCCTTCAGTGCAACCCGCCTGGGGTTTTTTAATATTCTAGACGCAGTAGATCCGAGAGAGAGAGAGAGAGAGAGAGTGAAAGTGAGAGAGAGCGTATTTCTATAGGGTGGGCACTTATAGCTGTATAATCATCGCTGCCAGCGAGTTGGAGTCTATGGACTAGTCAATTCCAGCAAGCAGGCTGGGAGAGGCTCTCTTTGGCTGGAACTCAGGTGGGCGCTGCCTGGAAGACCCAGGCCTGGTGGATCGCCAGGGCCGAGGGAGCCCCTTGTTGCCACGGGGGAGGGAAGAGGAGGAAATCACCTCAGATCTCCGGGAGCCCCGGGGTGAGCAAGTGCTGGAGAAAGCGAAAGGAGAAGGGGTGTGTGTGTGTGTTCAGAACTAAACGTGTCCATTGCCATGTTATCCTTCTCCTTCCCTCCGTCTTCCACTTGATGGGTAACAATTAATTACTACTCCCCCCCCAAAAAAAATAATCCCCTCTAAGTATTGACACTCAGGAATGCAGACCTACAGCGGGCCCCTCTGTGTTCACCTCTGGCCTTAAAACGTCATTGGCGGGCGCAGTTCAGCTCCTCTCAAAATCTGGGGGAGGGGATTCGAAGGCTGCTGGCCGGGGGTCCGGGGTCCTTTCGGCCAACCTAACCGAGCAAGTCAACCGAACCCACCCACCTACAGGCACCTGACCTTTGTGGGGGCTTTAGAGGCTGTTTTTAAAAGCCGGGACTCTCTCGGGGGTGAATGCCTGTATTGGCCACTTCCCCGATCCCCCGGGGCGCTTCTCCAGACATGGCCTGAGTCCCACGGAGGCCTTCGCTGCCCTGCCTTACAGGAACCGGACTTCTTCCAGCGAAGTTTGCCAGCTCGCCCCCCCCCCCTCCGCACCGGCGGCGGAGAGCGAGGCCCCTGCAGAGGCCCAGGGAGCCCTACCGCCTGCCTGCTCTCAGCCCGGGCTGGCCTCCTCCTATTCTCCTTCCACGCCCCAATTAAAAGCCTCTTCTAGTCAATCCAATTTTCCGAGAGGAGCGCCAGGACTTGTTTGTCTGGAGATGACTGGTGCCAATTGCCGGACTGCTAATAAACAGGAGAACTGTAAGAGGGGGGTGTTTTTTTCTTTAATGAATCAACGACCTTTGACGTGTGAAAATGCCGCTGCCTGTGAAGTCCTGGGCTGCATTCAGTGACGCCCAGCAAGAGGTGCGATGCACTGAAAGGATGCGCCCCGGCCGAGTGAATGGGACCCTCCCGGCATATGAGTTTAGGGGCAGCCTGGAGACCGGCCTCAAAGGAAGCCCTCCCACTCGTCTTGTGGAGAAGGTCTCCTAAGCGCCTCAGGCAGAAAAGGGGTCCATGTGGGGAGAGAGGTCCATGTCGGGCCTTTTAGGGTCTGGAAGGATTCCTCGCAGGGCCCCAAAGCCTGCCTCTGGACTCTGCTGCAGGTGGGGCCCGGAGGAAGAGATCAGATTCGTTCCCAAGAGCTCGGGCTCCCAGCTGGGCTCTCGTTGTCTTTGAGAACGGTAATCTTAACACGGGGGGGGGGGCACAATTGATAAAGCCTGCGCTCCGAGGAGCACTTCTCTGGCAGAGAGGAAGGACGAAGGAGCAGTCCGGCTCGGCAGCCTTTTACCGAAAACTCAGGGCCCTGGCTGGTTCTTTTTGGTGCACTGATCATTCGCTCTCTTTCATTCTGTTGTGTTTTGGGGTGGTTGGTTTTTTTTTTTGTTTTTTTTTTAAAGTGGTAATCTTAACACGGGGGGGGCACAATTGCTAAAGCCTGTGCGCCGAGGAGCACTTCTCTGGCAGAGAGGAAGGACGAAGGAGCAGTCCGGCTCGGCAGCCTTTTACCGAAAACTCAGGGCCCTGGCTGGTTCTTTTTGGTGCACTGATCATTCGCTCTCTTTCATTCTGTTGTGTTTTGGGGTGGTTGGGGTTTTTTTGTTTGTTTTTTTAATGGTCCGTGCCGTTTGACAGGCCAAAGTTTTGCGAAAAGAGAGCGAGGCGGGTAGGAAAGTGTTGCAGGACCGGTCGGGAAGAAGTGCCCCCAAAGGGGCTGCCCAGGAATTGGGACAGCCCCGCCCCCTGCTAGAGACCCACACCCCTAACCCCAGGCGGGGATCGTTCTTCTGCCTCCCGGACTGCGGGCCGGATCCTCGTCTAGGAGCCAGTCCCAGCGGGATCTGTGGCTGGAGAGCAGCCCGTTGCAAGAAGAGTTACAGGGACTGAGTCATTCTCTCCTTTGGGCTTCCGGGTGATCGTGAAAGAAGCCAGGTTTTAATGTAGACTTGGAGCCACTCCCCCTCCCCTTCGGTTGTGCCTGACTGTTGCTGCCTTAGAGGGCCTCGGAGGCTCCCTCAAACCTCTCGACTTCGCTCTTTTCAGAGACCTTCTCTCACCTCACCCCAGTTGCGATCTATTGCTTGCGAGGATTTGAGTGTAATTCTTAAAAACTCTCACTCACGTTCTGTGTTAAGGGAAACAATTAAAAAAAACCCAGCAGGTTGCTCTTTTTGGAAAGGGTTTCTGGAAAGAAAGGAGACGGGGCGGCCCTTTAGGCTAGTGGCCGCTGCTGGTGAAGTTTACCTTGTGCAGACTGCGGGGAGGGGGCCTTTTGGAGTGACAAGCAGGCCTGGGGGGGCGAGGGGGACCGGTGCTCACAAGTGGGAAGCCATCAAAGTCTCATTTCCAGGGCTCGCTCGGGATCCACGCCGTCGCCCAGGTCTTGGACTTGGGAAACCCCAAGAGTTGAGTTCCTGAATGAGTTAAACAGCCATTTGCCTCTGTCGTGTTCCATTCATCAGGCCGCAAGTCGAGAGTCTCGAACATGGGACTATTTGTTTGCTTACACAACCAGCTGGGCGCAATTTCACGTCTGAGATATCTATCTGAAAGCGCCTCTCATTTATTATCCTTCCTTGTCAGCGAATCCGTTTTCAAAGTGGGGTGGGTGTGTTTTTTAAGCAAGAATCGTTGAAGGATCCTGACTTTAATATCCTTCCTCAACACTTCCCCCCTTAGTCCTTCTCTTCCCCCCCCTCCATGGTGCTCCCAAAGAACATTCTTCACAAAACAGCTGGAAGGGAAGTCAGGGGGGATTTGCTGAGACCTCCGAAATGCCGAGCAGGCAAAGGTGACTCCGACGCTCCATCTCTCCCTCCCACCAAATCCACTTTGATGCTTGGAAGTCGCTTCAAGTAGTCGAATTAAGACCTTTGCTTGAAGCCGATCAACAGACCTTATTCAGGTTGCGGGGACTCCGACGGAAGCCCCACGTGCCTGGGTGGGCTGGCTGATTTGGGAATAAAACCTCTGCGGGGCTGACATGAGAGCAAATATATGCCTAGGCTGGGGCGGCGAGCCTAGTTCAGGAGTCCCCCCTCCCCTCCCCTCCCCTCTCCTCCCCTCACAAGGTGCCACCTGTAGAGGGGGTGGGAAGAAGAGGGATGGGTGGGTGGGTGGGATGAGGCGCCCTGGCCTTGTTATCTGTGCATTCCTCATCCGTGTCTCCCTGGTGGAATAACTGAATAGAAAATCGGGGCTCCGGGCCTGGTGGAATAAATGGTAATCCGAAAAAGAGAGCGAGGCAGAGAGAAAAGCTCAGCTGTACTGGTCAGCAGGAGTACAGCCGTCTGCGGGATTACTCGGA